ATCAATGCCGCCATCCTTTTGTAGCATCGATCCTAAATACCGGAAAGTCTCCTTCTTGGCCACTACTTGCCCGTCAAGGCTAACGTCACCATCATCATGTGAAGCCGTGCTATAGAACTTACCTTTTAGTTTGCCATGTAGTTAAGCCTGTCAGAGCTAGGTCGCACGTGGACAACCTTGAACTTACGAAGGTCAGGTCTCACGTGGACAACCTTGGTGTCACGCGGATAACCTTAGATTCGTGATTTTTGGTCATTTTTTTTATAGCGGACAACCTGAGTAGATTGGGTGTCACGCGGACAACCTTAGATTCGTGATTTTTAGTCATTTTTTTATATGGGGATCGATCAGGCTTTTTAGATCTATTCTGTGAATTGCTAGGATGACCCTTGTCAGCGTGATGATCCGCATAAGTCAATGACAAAAAGATCGCCGAAATTGACACCACATAAATTGCATGTAGTGGATAAGCTTCTAAAGACCGCCAGATAGAGATGGCCATTTGCGAGCTGCATCTTGCAATAGTTGTCGTAGTGTCGCATGGACAAGGGTGAATAATTTCAAATTTTCTCTCAGAAAGGAATATATAAGAATACACAATCGTCGTGAATTGCAAAGGCCAAGAAGTTGGCCATAAGGACATTTGTGATTTTACGAGGGGAATGTGGCAGGGTAATTGATAAAAGTCCTTGTAGTTGCCATTGGTTGTTCCCTTCCTTTAGTAGCGATCGTTTTATATTGGTCGCCAACGTGTGTTGATATGGTTCAAGGGTGGTCGTCGCTTCTTTATAAGGCGATTAATAATCTCCATTTGTATGTTGTAAGATCTCGTCTTTGATTCTCCGAATGCTCTTTTGACGATAAATAGACATTTAAAAAGCGAGCGTTTAGTAGCAGATTGTTGTTGGTGATTGTGAGACAACCGAGAATATTTTATAGAGACTGCTTTTTTGAAGATACCTTTGTCCGGTGTATTTTATGAGGTTTACTTGTTGTACAGAAATGATAGCGTAAATACTTTTTTCTTAACCAAAAAATTTGGTTCGTGTGTGAAAATAGTAAAGGTTTTAGTATACTGTAAGAATGAATTTCACCAAATTATTGTAGATACTGTAACATTTTGTGTTAATAGAGATTGTTGACCTTATTTTACGTAATGATGCATAAAAAATAAGAATAGTATTTGAGCTAAAAAAACTAAAATTCTATCATAACTTTAATTTAAATCCATATTTATAGTTCATATAAATAACTTTAATTTGATTAGATCAAGAGAAAAAATGCATAAGAAAATTATGTTCCTATAATTGGGAAGATAACATGGGCTACTATCAATTGAATTATGATTTTTATATATGTTGCCAATAAAATGATGAAAATAAATGATTAAATAAGATAGATGAGAGAAAGTAACTATATCAAATAAATTTGTTTAACTTTTAATTACATTAACAAAATGATCCTCGCAAAATTAAAAGTGAGAAAAAAACTATCCGAAATTAACATTATGGCACTGTATATTTGATACAATATAATATTTTATATTTGAAAGTTATTCGACTTTTAATATATTTAACACGATTCAGTATATAATCTACTTTATTTTATTTAATTCAATTTATTAAATGCAAAAAAAAAAAATAATAAACTATAAATATAAAAAAATATAATTTGAAAATACAGAAAAATATAATTCATATACCATGCATGTGCAAGTATGTGACTAGTATATACCAAATAGCTTATTTTTGTCTCTCGAAAGCTGTCTTGAGCGCTTCACTGTTGCAATTTACAAACATAATAAACTTGAGAAGAAAAAAAAAGTTAGGACTTGTTCGTATACAAGAAATTTAAAAAAAAAAATGCAACATTTTAACTCAATCACTTTTTTAGCTAAACTTTAACTCAACCATACTATCATCAATGTTATGGATATAATTAAATAATATCAACCAATCATTTATACACATCACATCAACCTTAATTCACTATTCATCAACTCACATTATTTTAACTAACCATCACTTCAAATCATCTCTCTCCTACTTTTACATCAAATCAATTTTACATTAAATCATCCACTCACATTAGTTTTGATAGGAACTAGAACAAGACATACCGTAGTCCGATTCTGTGACCTCATTATCGTGTTGGTGTTATTTATCTTATTTTTTTTTTCCCGAAACGACAGATATTATTATAAATCAAAAGCGCACAAATGTGCAAATACAAGCAGCTCCTAGCTGAATGAGAACAGCCAACAGCTGAAAAGTGGGAGGACAGTCTATGACCGCCTAGATCCGGCCCCAACGGGGAAATACAAACTAACAAAAACAACACTAACACACGAATACACTAAGAAACTAAAAGGACCCCAACGGAGTAATACCCGAGTATCTGCTCCCAACAGGAGAATAAGTTGACACTCAAGCTCACAGAGGTCAACTACCCAGACAAAAAACACAGCAAAACAACACACAAAATCACAAATCTATGAACAAAACAAAACAACACAAATGAAACAAGGCCCTCCTAAGCAGCAACACCGATCCAAACCATTGGAAACCAGTCAACCACGGATCCCAAAGCTAGAAGCATCAACCCCGAAACTGCTTAAACCACTCGGGTGCCAAACAGAGACGAACCCCTAACTCCGGAACCACAACAGGCCGACTCGCACCACGGCCACAACACCCAAGTGCCCAGAGCAGGCAAAAGGATGCCGCAACCCCAGCCCCGACCCCGAAATCCTCTGGCAGCTACCCAACAACCACCGTCCCGCCACAACAACACCCTGACCAGCCTCACTGGAGGAAGAACTGACGCAGCAGCCCCAATTGACCGGGAAAACGAGTACAAGAAGGGATGGCTTTGAATAACTTCACCGCCCCGGTCGCCCAGCAAACAAGTCGTCGTGCAATCGAGTCGTGTCCCGCCCCAGGAACCGCACAACGGCTCCACCACCACACGACCGAGCAGCCCCCAACCGGAATTGACGAACAGGCGCCGGAAGGAAGAAACCCAGCCGCAGAAGACGAGGGCCTGAGCCATGGAAATCGGGCAGTGGAACGGAAAAGAAGGGGTGAGAACCAGACAACAGGGGGCCAGCAACCGCCGGCTAAGCTCGATGTCTGCGGAGGAGAGCGGACAACTTCAAATCGAAAGAGAAAGTCGACGGCAAAGAGGGTTTTTCTGAGGGAGGAAGTTTCGCGAGAGAAAGTCTGTTATTTATCTTATTTAATCGTAAATAAACTTAATTATGATGATTATAATTAAACTTAACTAAAATTGTCATTTCATGTTGTATTGTGTTTCATATTATTAATTGTGTTGGATTATCTGTAAATTTCCTAAGATAATTAACAATTCCTAGCTAAATTAAATAAAAGATAATGTATAACAAATTATGAAAAGTACGAAAAAGCTGTCAATATAACAGTATTCTCGCTCAAAAGGTTAGTTTCTATTATTATTATCCATCTATCCTAATCCACATGGGAGAAGGAAAACGAGAGAACTAACAATAAAGTACTATATATATAATACACCACTCTTATTCTACCAAGAGTTTCATCACTACACCTNGGCCCAAAAAAAAAAATCTACCTTGGGCTAATTGATTTTCATTAAATATTTAAATAATAATATTTGATATTAAAAAAATATGAAAAATTAAATTTTACTAAGATATACATATATAATGTTCCATGTTCATTAAAAATACTCAAAAAAGGTTTTATATAAATATGTCTAGGCACCCCGCGCCCGCTAGTGTTTGAATGATTGCCACGAGTTTTGCCTAAACGACAATAATTATGAATGTATTAAATTTCTATAATATTTGTATTTGCCCATAATGATTAATATATTTTATAAAATGTATCTCATAAAATGTATATGATGATAAATATAGAAGTTTTATTAATATTATTACAATCCGTCTAAAAGCTTTTTAAAACATTGCTAAAAAGGGTAAAAAAAATAAAAAATGCACATCATTCATTGTTACCTCTCTTCTCGTAATTGTCGTATTAGAATTTACTATGTATAGAACTAAACCAAATATTAAATATGTTCAATATTCATTAAAAACACTTTTGATAAACCTTAAATGTTGTGGAGATGTAATGAAACAAGCGACAATAATAAATTATTAGGTAATATAAATTCTTTAAACTAATTAATATAAATATGTATATAATGAATTGTATGCAATAAGTAACGTGTAGTTGACTAGTAGAAACAATATTCTTTGGTAGAGAGAGGGAGAGGGATTCTTGATATATAGTTTCAAGAAAAGTAATATTATAAAAAAAAAATAGAAAATAAAAAGGATTGTGAGTGAGTAAAAAAATAGTCTAATTAAAAGAGAAAGAGAGGCTGCTAGAGACCAAAATGAGAGGCCTTATGTTTTCAATTTCCAATTCAGTCCAAAATCAATTAAAAACCCTGTTGTAAGTACTTTTTAAAAGAAAAGGCGTATATCAATTAAAAACCCTACTGTAAGTACTTTTTAAAGGAAAAAGCGTATGCTTTTATTATGTGATATGGGCTGAACTTTATACAGTATGAGCTGAATAATAAATAAATGACCTTAATAGTTAGCAAACAAAAAATCAACCTGGGCTGGAGCCCACCCCAGCCTTTGGGGTGGCTCCGCCCCTGATTGTACGCACACATCACGAATAAACATTCGGTTCGGGACGTACAGAATTTTGATTAAAAGAACAGAACAATCGTCTTAGGTAATTATTATTATTGTTTTTATTATTAATTTTTTTTTTTTTTCACATTCTTTGACTACTATCCTTAAATTCATATATTTACCTTTAGACCGCCAAACAACAGGATTTGTGATATGGTAACCCTCATTAACAACATCATGACTATTGCCTCTCTCTCTCTCTCTATATCTATATATATATATATATATATCACCAAACTGCAATTACTTAATTTCTCAATTTTATGAACCTATTTAATTGTATTTTTAGCAAGAGATGGAGAATTGGCCAAGAGCAACGTACAACAACCTGTACAAGTGGCCGGAATCTGATGTTGAGTTCATGAAGAAGGTGATAATCTCTGGCGGATATGGAGTGGCCAACAAGGCTTTTTCATGCAGACAGGCGTGCCTCAGAAGCTACACTTTCTCAAGAGAAGAGGATAATGATAATCATAATCATCATTGTTGTACGAAGTTGAAGCGCCTTTCCAAGCTTAAAAAGAAAAGATCGGACAGAAGAAGAGGACGCTCCCCGATTCCATCATATGGTGGACGCTGTCATGTACCTTCACTCTTAATTGTCAAGACTGATGTAAATATATAGTTTTTTTTTTCTTTTTTTTTTTTTACCCGTACGTTCTTTTTTATTTTTTGTGTGAAGATTTTTCCCAATTCCTCGATCGATTCCAATAGATTTTAGTTTTGTGGAAACTGTTTAAATTGCTATTTTTTAATTAAATAAATTTCTTTATTAAACAAATTAATTTTATGAATATAAAAATGGTTTGCAATGAGGATGAGTGAGTCTTACGTATATAACTTTAAATAAAAAAAATAATGCACTTTTGTATTAAATATTTTTATTAATTAGGACTCATATATTACACGGTCTTGTGATTGTACTAGTTAATTAGTTAATTAGGGGTATCGGCAACTGATTCTCCTTAATTGTTAAAAGAAAAAAGAAATAAAAAAATACTACTTTAAAACTACGAGTGGTTTTGTCAGAATATAAATTACCTAAAATACGAATATACGAACAAAACATTTCAAATTTCTAAAAAACCAACCACAATATTCTCGCACCATTATTTCTCATGAATTTACTTTCTTCCTCATATCTCTCTGCTTTCTTTCATATCTCCAAAAAATCAACACAAACAACAAAGCTTTGAAAACATATAGAATTGTTGTGTTGAAAAACGTCATTATTTTTATATAATTTTGATGGTAAAGTCATAATTTTGTTTAATAATTCTTATATATGTTCGAGTGTGAGCGAGTAATATCGATTTGTGATCGTTTTGTATTGATGATTATATAATATGGCTTTTTAAAAAGGCTTCCGGGCACAGAGTTGGCAGTTTCATGTCCATTGCCTCCTTTACAATTGTGGCTAAAGGGAGTTGGAGAATATCGGTATCCATCAGTTATTGGTAGTATGGATTAATGAATCGGAGTTCATAGGGAGGGCATTTCTGTTTGGTGCCATCTTTTTTTGTTTTTCCTTTTATTTAACTCGAGTCATGTTAACATATGCCCCAACATGCAATAAGAATAGAATATGCCAAACAGATATGTAATTGATAAGTAATGAATCTTTACCTCTTCAATAGTTCCACAATATTCTAGCTAAGCTAACGAAATTTCTATAAGAACAGAGCGGAGCCCGACCTGCTGATATGTATAGATGTGTGACTGCTAAATTTTAAAGTTGTATAAAGAATGTAGAAGAAGTCGATTTTATACAAAAATATATACCCAGCAATTAGTTAATTCTCAAATAAATAAAACCATCATGTAATTTGAGACTCGCAAAATGAAAATTAAGCCCATCTTAATATGGGGGATGGAATATGAATTCAAATTATTCTTTTGTAGCTTTCAGATTAAATTGGAGTTGCCTGTTACATTATGTTATACAGTAATCATGAAGAAAGCAAATAACAACAATAACATATGACGAAAAATGCAATGCTAAAATAGACAAGTAATAACAAAATCATTATCAACACATGAAAAGGTAGATGTCAATTAAACAATAAAACAACAATCAAAGACCATAAACATATCAGAACTCCGAAACCAAAACGACAGTGAGCTCATACAATAAACACAGTTCCTTCAGAAGATGGATCAGCAAATAACTCCACAGCAGAAGATAAAATAACAACACAATTTAAGCATATTCAATCATCACACGAGTTCGATTACCGATATTCAAATGCCACCGCATTTGAATACTGATCGTCAATTTCTCAGCAAAATCTTCGAAATCTCTAATCGACCCTGGGGGAGATGGTGGAACCAGTCGAGCGCGCCTCCCCTCAAGGTCTAAAGAAACGCCCTGCAACTGACCGTATTAGATTATATGTAAATAGGTTTACTTGTATGCATTAGAATAAATGTAGTTAGGTTTACTTGTATTTTGTGCTTCAAGACTTGTACCTTTTATTCCTCATTTACTTAGGATTAAAGTCCATCATATAAAAGGGACTCTAACCCTAATTGTACATACATTTTTGCCTTTCCATTTGTCAGATAATGAAATCTTTCCTCTCGTGTTGTTTTTCATTTTTCTCTCGCTGAGTTCATTCAAATCTTTACATGGTATCAATCGCCTAGTTTATGTGATCCTTTACTAATTTCCGCTGCATTTCATCTTCTTTGACCCAAATTAATCGACTTCTATTCGATTTTTTTGGATATTTTTTGGCAATTTCCCTTTATTTGTCGATCTGTTTTTTGCGATTTGGGGATTCTATCGATCACCACTGCTACTTCGCTCATTTCGTTGATTATTGCGAGAACGCGTCTCCGATCCTTTACCGGCTCAACCGATTTGTGTCACATCTATCTAATCCACACCAGATCCGTTCGATTCACACTGGCTCCATCTGATTTGCACCTGATCCGTTCGATTCGCACCCGATCCATACTGCTGAACTCTGATTGTTGTCATTATGCCGAATCCAACTGATGATCCGACATCACCATTTTTTCTCCATGCGAGTGATAATCTAGGTGCTTTAATCATCGCTGAACCATTCACTGGCGAAAACTATGTCTCGTGGTCTCGTTCAGTCTCTATGGCTCTCAGCGTGAAAAACAAACTAGGGTTTGTTGATGGTACAATTTCTGTTCCTAATTCCTCTGCTAGTCCTTCTGAATCTCTTGCTTGGGTACGTGCGAATAATTTGGTGTTATCATGGCTTCTGAACTCTGTCACTAAAGAAATTCGTCAGTCATTGTTATTTTTCTCTGTTGCTAACGATGTTTGGGATGAAACCAAGTCTAGATATGCTCTATCTAGTGGTCCTAGGGTTTTCCAACTTGAAAAATCCCTAAGTACTATGGACCAGGGTTCTATGTCTGTCACTCACTACTACTTATAGACCCATTACCTATAGACCCATTTTTCGATGTACCTGTGGTGCTCTCAACTCTTGTACTTGTAACATCCTTGATGCTATGATCACAGCTTAGCAAGATGACTCAGTCATGAAATTCCTTATTGGTTTGAATGATACTTATTCTTCTCTTAGAAGTCATTTTTTACTGTCATCACCCCTGCCTTCTCTATCAAAAGTTTACTCCCTTCTCCTCCAAGAAGAAAGCCAAAGATCTTTACATATTTCGAGTAAAACTATTGATTCTGTGGCAATGCTTGCCAAGGCACCTCAATTTCAGAACAGATACAACAAACCACCACTTTCAAAAGATAAACCAAAGCAGAAATGCTCCCACTGTGGTTACAACCATTCAGTTGAAAATTGCTATCAAATCATTGGTTATCCATCCCATTGGAAAGGTCCTAAAGGCCCTAGGAAACATCCTGACCTTGTATCTGCTAACTCTGTTGTCAGTCATCCTACTATTTCTGATAATTCTACCACTGACACTTTGTTTCATGAGTTCCTTGAATTTAAAAAATCTTATGATAGCAAACAGGGAGTTGGACTTCCTCATCCTGCTCCTATAGTTGCTACTGCTCATGTGAATCCTGAAACTTCAAGTATAACTGCTAACTAGTTCTTACTAATAATGCTAACAAGTTTGTTTGGATACTTGACACTGGTGCATCTGATCATATGATATGTGACATCTCATTGTTTACATCTCCCCCAGCCCCCATTTCTATTCCTATTAATCTCCCTAATGGTCAAAAGGCTTGTGCATGCCATGTGGGACAAATAAATTTGGGACCTAATCTTGTGCTGCACAATGCTTTATTTGTCCCTACTTTTAAATTTAATCTCATTTCCATTTCAAAACTAACATCCACTAACAACTGTGTGGTCAATTTTTTCTCCTCTCACTGTATTGTGCAAGAAACAACATCCAAAAGGATGATTGGTTCTGCTGAAGCTAAAAATGGCTTATATTTTTTAGATTTGCATAGTCCATCTTTTGTAATTTCATGTAACAGCAGTTCCACTTCAACTACTGTTTCCACTTCTGAACTATGGCACAATAGACTTGGACATCTTTCTTATCATAAAATGTCTTCATTACAGTTCTCTGATAACACTTGTAAGCATCTTGCTTCTCAACCATGTGATGTATGCCATTTCTCTAGGCAAAAGAAGTTACCTTTCTCTGTTAGTACTTCTATTGCATCTTGCATTTTTGAGTTAATTCACTGTGACATATGGGGTCCCTTCTCTGTTACATCTCATTCTGGTTTCAAATACTTCCTCACTATTGTAGATGATTTCAGTAGAACTACATGGATTTACCCTTTGCATTCCAAAGCTGATACTAAAAACCATTTATTACATTTTCATAATCTTGTAATAACTCAGTTCAACACTACTATCAAAACAATCAGAACTGATAATGGCAAGGAATTTCTTATGCATGATTTTTCTCCTCTTTGGGAATTCAACATCAAACCTCTTGTGTTGAAACTCCCCAACAAAATGGAAGAATTGAAAGAAAACATCAACATCTTTTAAATGTTGCTAGAGCATTATTATTTCATGCCCACTTACCTCTTGCATTCTGGATTGATTGCATTTTGGCAGCAGCTCATATTATTAATAGAATTCCTTCTGTCATTTTACAAAACAAATCCCCTTTTGAAATTTTATACAACAAAACCCCCAATTATGATCATTTGAGAGTAATTGGCTGTTTATGTTATTCTTCAACTATTTCTTCTCAAAGAACAAAGTTTGACAAAAGAGCATCAAAATGCATTCTTCTTGGTTATCCACTCGGTTGTAAAGGCTATAGACTTTACAACTTGGAAACCAAGGAAACATTGATTTCCAGAAATGTGTTCTTCTATGAAACTGTGTTTCCTTTCCAGAATAAGGCTCCATTTTCTCACAGCTCTCTTTTTCCTGCCCCACCCAATTTTGTTCATGATTATCCTATGTCTGACAACACAAATATCCAACTGAACTTACCACCAAATAACTCAGACTCTACATCTACCTCAGACACTACAAACAATATTACTATTTTTCCTTCAGAAACTACCAACCCTAACAATATTAATATATCTCCTTCCACCACTACAAACCCTATTACTATCTCTCCTGTGCAATCCCCACAACCATCTTTACCTCCCTCAGAAACCAGAAAATCTACTAGAAACAGAAAACCACCTTCTTATTTGTCCATATACAATCATTCTATACCTCATTCTTCTAACTATACCTCAATTCCATCACAGTTGAACACATCTGGAACATCCATTTATCCCATTTCTTCATATCTTTCAACAGAAAGGCTCAATGAAAACCATAAATGTTTTACATCATCTATTTTTTCAACTACTGAGCCAAAAACTTACAAACAGGCTTCAAAAGACCCTTTATGGGTTGATGCTATGCGTAAAGAAATAGAAGCTCTTGAGAAAACAAACACATGGGTTTTAACTACTCTTCCACCCAGTAAAAACTGCATTGGATGTAAATGGGTTTTTAGAATCAAATACAACTCTGATGGTACTATTGGCAGATACAAAGCAAGACTTGTAGCCAAAGGCTACACCCAAGAAGAAGGTTTGGATTACTTTGACACTTTCTCTCCAGTTGCTAAAATCACCACTGTCAGAACCTTACTTGTTATTGCATCTATTAAAAATTGAAACCTTCATCAATTAGATGTCAACAATACATTCTTGCATGGTGACTTAGATGAAGAAATTTATATGTCCCCTCCCCCTGGCTATGAAACCACAAATCCATGACAAGTTTGTAAATTAGTCAAAAGCCTATATGGCCTTAAACAGGCATCTAAGCAATGGTTCCATAAACTAACAACTTGTCTTTTGGATTTTGGTTATACCCAGTCATCTGCTGATTGTTCCTTATTTATTAAATCTAAGAATGATTCATTTACAGCACTGTTGGTCTATGTAGATGACATCATACTTGCAGGTAATGACATGGCAGAGATTAACAAGGTAAAATCTCATTTAGATA